CAACGACAACTAAACAGTAAACAATGAAAAAACAGTACCGAAAATCAAGCGTGAGGTCCAAATAATGCACTAATGCAATAATAGCGCAGTCAATAAAGCATTTTTTCAAAAGTTTTCAAGAACATGTGCGATTTTATTTTTTTTTTACTGAACAAATATAATATTTAATTATCATACGAAATATTAAATCAATTTATATATGTATATATATTATATAATGTATTTTCAGTATATACATATATACTGAATCTCGACTTGCGGAAGAGGCCAATAAAGTGCTATGTCTGGAGCATAGCTCTATGCGGATCAGAGACATGGACTCTGAGAAAGGCCGACAAGAATTATCTGAAGAGTTTTGAAATGTGGTGCTGGAGACGAATGAAGAAGATAAAATGATCAGCCAAGGTAACAATTGAAGAAGTCCTGAGAAGAGTTGGCGAAAATAAAGTTATACTGAACACGATCATTAGGAAGAAAATTATGAAGGAATCGAAACTGAATCGGATTCGTTCTGCAAAAAGAAAGTATTTTATATGACGTCGTGGAAAGTAAAATAGAAGGACTGAAAAGGACAGGGAAGAAAAATGCAAATTATTAATGATCTACGCGAGAAGAGAAAATACAGGGAACTGAAAACTGAAACACAGGACCAGGAAGTATGGAAGCAAAAGTTTGTAAAGGATAGTTTATAATAATCAATATAAAATTGTATAAGTAAAATAAAATGTTAGGGAGAATAAGAAACAAGGGAACCATGAACCTGCCTTCCTTATATACATATTAAAATATATCATATTGCTCATTTTGTCAATTAAAAATTACACTGAAGATGCGACCAATGTAGTTTTAAAATGTAAAATTCAAAGTTATTAAATAAATAGTTCAAAAATAGTTTATATTTCCAATTTTATATACCGTACACACACACACACACACACACACACACATATATATATATATATATATATATATATATATATATATTGTATGATTCTGAATTTGATGTTGACATATGTATTAACAAAGTCTAATAATCGGGCATAACATCAATAAAAAACATGAATTTCTTTCAAAAATTTATTTTAAATCCATACGTTTCGGCTATAATATTAGCTTTCATTCAGTGGAAAAATTAGTTGATCTTAGTGTTAAATTGGAAAATTTTGATAATCCATGGTATCAGGATATGGTAATGCACTACACTATGTATTATAAACATTAACTTGAAATTACACAATATTTTCACAAAATACTGATTTGAAAAAATCACAAATGGATAGTGTGTTATTTGTAGACTGGTTGTTGGAGATGTACATTACATCTCCTAATACCATGGATTATTAAAATTTTCCAATTTAACACTAAGATCAACTAATTTTTCCACTGAATGAAGGCTAGGATTATAGCCGAAACGTATGGATTTGAAATAAATTTTTGAAAGAAATTCATGTTTTTTGTTGATGTTATGCCCGATTATTAGACTTTGTTTATATATATATATATATATATATATATATATATATATATATATATATATATATATAAGAGTATAATGCGATATACTTGTTTGCAGATATGATATAAGCTAAGTTAACTAAGTTAGTTGGACTTTTTCAGTCGTCTATTTCTCTATTGAAGTAATAAATTTCCAGTCTATTCCAATAGTCGGCAAGTCTGTGTTTACGCCCGTGGCTGTGTATAATTATTGATTTATATTATTAAAAAATACTTGTTTTTACATTATTCTTTTTATGTTATAATTATGTTAATCACAAGTAGACATTTTTTAGGGTTTATTAACACCTTTGACGGATGTCTATAACATTTTTATAAGCTATTGACTTTGGTAACAAATCACCACGATTTTTAACTAAATTATTGGTAAAAATGTGGATAACAATTTTCACTAATCTGTTTATTGTAAAGAAACGTCACGGCCGATCGTGGCAAATTGAACGCAAGTTCTTATCGTGTTTCAGATTTTTTCAATCGGTCTTCAATACATAGATTCAGTTATAATGAAATTTAAAATTAAAAAAAAATGTATATATAATGTATATGTATGAAAATATAATTATTTTTTTGTTGAATAAAATTATAACACCTAAATAGTCCTATCGCTATGTTACTAAATTACATTGCTATAATTTCTATAATAGAGAAGGAAATTTATATTGATGCACCAATGATGATAGTAAGGTCTATTAATATGTTGAGTTATATCATGATATCGTCTATATTTCCAAGTGAAAACCGATGTAATTACTGTTTGACATCAGGCTGCCCGAGGCGGGTATCGAACCAAAGACATCTGATTTAAATCCCATAGCTGGAGTACCTAATCCACGGGAGAGTCCATTTAGATACATATATGTGCATCTAAATACACACCAATATATACATATATATATAATATAATAATATTTTTTTTTTTATATTTTTATATTTAATATCGAATGTTGTTATGTATGTAATATGTAATAACATTTAAAAGAATAAAGAATTTTTCTATATTAACCTTCCTTTTATTCGACGATTGGACTGCAAAATAGTATATTTAAGAATTGAAGTAATTCTAGTATATTTATGCATTTTAATTTGAGTGGCATTCGAAGATAAAAGTAGTACTTGATTGTTACCCGTAAAATAATAGAATAATATTAGATATTTTAAATAATTTTAGTAGGTACCACCAAATGAACGAACATGCCTGTCCCTTAGCACCGGACACTCAGTCGTCCTTTAGCGCCGGACAGTAAACATATTGATATTTCTTGTGAGAATTGGCGTAATTTAATCTATTTATTTAATTTTGTTCTGTATGAGTGCTAACGGTCACTACATACCCCCATTTTTCCTATTTCCTAGTCAATGAATGAAAATCTTATAATGAATGCTCCAGCTGAGAGCATCCGTGTGGCCAGCCAAAAGGATGAATAAATAGTGTTTTTTGCAATATCTAAGAATATTCGTCAAAGACACATGTTCAGACATTCCAGAGTGTGGAGATGGCTACATATGTGATCAATGCAGGTTATTTTGAAATGTCCGGTACTAGGTACCACTTTGTAAAATCATATTTTTTTGTTACCACAATTGATTGATTGTTTTGTTAATTGTTATTGCGTTTTTGTTAATTTAGTTTGATTTCTAACTTTGTTATCTAACATAATTCATAATTTAATAAACATTTCGTGAAATATTTTTTGATTTATTTATAAATAACCTTAGCTGTCCGGCACTCGGGGACTTCCCCCTGTATATTTTATCATATTATGATTAAATTAAGATACATTGCTTCCGTGTATTATGTATAATAAATCTGTCTTTCCTAATTATAAATTTAAATTTTAAAATTCACAAATTAAAATAACCAAGACAAATTTTAATATCGCGTCAGAAGTAATAGAAAATATTAACAGCACTGCCATCTATGCAATATGCCATTATTAGGGCATAGATGGCTGTATGTCTAGTTTCATTCATTCGTCCTCCATCTCTCGCGTTACACTGATGCTGGGGAGTTGGGGACCCCCACAGTCCCAGTCCTGCTTACTCCCTCGGGGACATTCAGTCTGCGGCTCAGGAACGTGTCCGCCAAGAGACACAACGGGAGAATGAAAAGGATATATTGTTTCGATCAAAGGCTATTGCGGGAAGAGGCTGGACTCTTCAGTCCTGACACTTCGTTTCGAGGATACTCTGCGATGGATGTGGAATCTGAATAGTGCTCATGGACGAGTAAACGAATAAATAAACATGTACTCGAAGGAATTGCCAGTTTTTAACTCGTGGTGCATGGCATCGTGCCTTAAGGCAAATTGTTTGAAAATTCCGTCCCATAATTTAAAAATTTTGAAAGCATTACAACTTTTTGAAAATTTTGAAAAAAATTGATTTTTGAAAATTTTGAAACTTTTAAGAATGTTAGACTTTTTCGAAAAATTAGGAATTTTTATATTATGAAAATTTGGATTTTTTTCTTCAAATCAATCGTGCTAACGGTTAAACATTACAAATCTTGCTAAGCAACTTATAGAAATGCACACAACATTTGTACTTATTATTAAAATCTATAAAATATATGAAAATTTGATATGCATATATGTTAATAGTCACATTTAACCACTAATTGGCATTTTTTTTAAACTTTTTTTATGGCGTTTCCTAAACCGCTAGACCTGCCTTTCCAAATTTACCAGTTATTTATTTCGTCATTACAAGTAAACTGTTTTTTCAATCAGGCAAATCAGACGCTCCGTTCTCTCAAAAACTGAATAAGCATTTTTGACACTTTTTGTCTCACATCTTTGAAACGCCTCGGTCAAAACCTAACCAGCACGTCTTCCCGTCAATAGGAATCGAATGTTGTTTAAATTATTATAATCGGTTGATCCGTGTTCTTGAAATTTTGGACAAAAAATTGTATCTGCAGAGACATATGAACACACACACATACATTCATTTTTTTATGGTATGCCAAAATGTTCAGAAGACTTTGTAACACAAAGATATATAAAAAATATTTTCATTTTTCCGGCTATTACTTATACCTTACGGGAAGTTAAAAAAATACACTTCATTTTTTATAATGCAACTCGATCTATACGGCATTGTTTTCCTACTTGAAGTATTTTTCGCCCCATTTTTATATATGTACCTATATATTATTATCTATCATATACAATGCATGAATAGTAATAAAATGTGTGTGCAAATGATAGAAAAAATTAACAGTTTCCAAAAAGACCATAACCCCTCAATATATAATTTAACATAAGATAAATAAATCTTTTTAAGTATATTATTTCTAAATTGCTCCAAAACAAGACTGTTCTTATAAGCAAAGTCATAATTAATCAATATACTTTATATTTTATTGCAAATTCATATAGTTCAGTTGACGAAAAAGTTAGCTTCGAATTTCATTATAAAATATTTATCACTGAATAAAATATAAAATAAAATCCAAAAACTTTTTTTCACTCTGCTTTCACAACCTAATACGCCAAATCTTCTAATATCTTGAAAAAGTAGCAGACTTCTAAAGTTCCATCACACGGAAGTTCAGTACAATGTATTGCATTATATATTCTCGTCTGCCCAAACTTTGCACGAAGTGTCCAAGGTTTAATGCGGCGTGCTTTTTCCTTAAAAAATAATTCAGTGAATTGAGTTTCGATATCAGAATAGTGGAAATAAATATTTTATTTATTTTGAAGATATAGAAAAACAACATACATGCGTAGAAATAATCAAACGTACTCACACACACGTATATATATATATATATATATATATATATATATATGAAATTCAGTCTTCAGGGCAATACATCAATTAAAAACTTGTATGACTTTGAAACTTTTTTTTTTCATACGTTTCGACACATTGTTTTGTGTCATCTTCAGTGGACTATGTAATTGTAATAATCCTGATTATTTCATAATTATAATTGTTCACAATGCACAATAAAATCAATTCTTGTCACTTTAAATTGAACAATATATAAATTTTAGAGAGAGTTTTTTATGAAATTGTAAAGTACATCCCGCTATTCCGTATTCCGATGCAAGAGTCAACTCATTCTAAAATTTATATATTGTTCAATTGAGTGAGTAACCCATCCCTATATATATATATATATATATATATATATATATATATATATATATGTGTGTGTGTGTGTATATAACAAATGGTTGTCTGCCCGATAACAATCATATGGTCCATAGTACGAGAGCGCAACAAAATTCATTTATTCTATTTTAGATCTATTTTAAATTCAATCCATTTATATACTGATAAATAGCACTAACTGTTAGGCAATTTCAGTTACAAAATTATTTAAACAAAATAACCGTCACAAAAATATTATAAAATATTTTTTGACTGAAATGTAAACAAACACAAGAATTATAATCGGTTGCATGGTTTCGAATAGACACAATGATACTTAGAATTTTTCAGTCATCTTAGTATTAATCATAATATAATTAATCATAATAAGTAATTAGTAGATCAATGTATTAAAATTAAATCAAATAAAAATTGCATGTTTGAACTCACTGGATGTGAAGGACCGCAGATATCCTTAAACAACTGCACAATATCAGGGTCATTATCTGGAGTCATAATTTCCATTGCAATTAGCGGTCCCTCAATCATTGATGACACCATTCTCTGAAAAATAATAATTTTTTTTACTAATATACTGAAAAAATTTAACCTAAAGCAAGTTTTAGGATTTTCTGAGAAAACATTGATATAAGAGTAACCATAACAATTGTATATAGCAAAACAAGTAAAAAAAGTTAATAGAATTGTTTTAAATCTAATAATTTATGGAATCTCTCCAAATACCTTAAACTGCCAATAAAGAAAAAGCAGCTCAGACAATTTTCAAATTAAACCACTAGATAATAATAAATGAAATTGTACGTAATTTAGAAAAAATTAAAATCTTTTGAACCAATTTTTAACGGTTAATTACAAAAAACATCTTTTGTGATTTTTACCAGAACCTAATCGATTTTCTATTGAACGTTCGGAGAAACTTGAGCAAAGGTGCACATAATTCGAACAACCAATCTTTTTCTTCGAAAAGTAAAATTTGGTATAACACTTGTATATAAATTATAAATTATTTGAAATTTATTAAGATGTTAATAAAAAACATTACATTTTTAGTTATTCTAAATCTATATCTGCCTCATATAATAAAACAAATAAGTATATCTTCAGTTTGCGGCTGGTGGTATTCTTACACCTAATAATTAATCCTTCTTTGGAAGTTTCTATTAGTAATATATTTTTAATAGTGTTCAACAATAATTTTCAAAAGTTAATATATATGTCTATAAAATAAATAACTAACCGGATAATCAGCATGCAAGTTTCGGTAGACATCTAAGTACTCGAGCATATTCACTTTGTCCATATAAAACATTTGCATGGCTCCAATTACGAATCCGCATTTTTGAATTTGTTGAATGATGGCCCCAGTCATCTGATCTTTGATCGCATGAGGTTTAATTATACAAAGGGTAGAATTACCCAAATGTACAGTATTTGTGATCCCATTTGTTGGATCTGGAGGGAAGAATATCGCAGAATCCTTAAAAAATCGAAATAATATATTAATTTAACATAGATAAAATACGTAAGATAGTACAGAATTTATGCAAATAACAAGAGAAATAGAGGGGTGTATGGCATCGTGCTTTAAGACAAATTGCTGGAACTTCCCGTACCGTAACGAAATGTTCGAAGAATACTGAATGTTTTCAAATAGATTATTATTAATATTGTAACATTGCCTAATATTCATAAGAATTATATAAACTGAACTGCAAAGTTGCAATTATTTGTTTAAAATATATTAGAACCATAGTCAGAATTAAAAATAAAATCTGAATTATTTTCGACATACAAAATTTTTTTTTCCAAAATCTATCATTTTGTTTAGACAAGCAGAAAGTTCTTTGAATCATTTAAATCGGACACTTAGTTCTCTCAAAAACTGCCATTTTTTACATATTTAGCTCCGTATCTTCAAAATGCCTGGCCCTGTCTTTGCTAAAAACTGATCAGCTCATCTCCCTATAAATAGGAATCGATTGTTTTTTGAACCATTCAGATCGGTTGATCCGTGCGCCCAAAAACGTGACTGGAAATTTGTATCCATACATACATACACACACACATCCATTTTTTCTGAGGTATTCCAAAATGTTCAGAAACCTTCAAAACGTCGAGAAATGTAAAAATTTTCGATTTCGATTTTCGACCCATTACAATAACTTACCCTACGGGAAGTTAAAAAATGTAGTGTCCGATTATGCATAGAATAACTTATTCTCTTGATATAGTAGTATTGGCTTTTTATATCTTTATTGGCTGACAAAATATCATTAGCCAGTTTCTATAATATACCTATATCAAATAAATATTAACTAATTTATGCTTATATAAAACGCAAATTGTTTAATCCGATGCTTCTAATAAACTATTACCTGCCTTGACCTAAATTACGCAAAAACCAATTTATTCATCATTTCTTTTCAAACGCAATCTTGTGTCTCTATAAGTGAACTTTAAAATTAAAAAATTTGTACGTAACGCAAAAAAAAAATTACTCAAAATGTGTAACTACATATATATTACCATATCGGATAGAATTTTTTGATCCTGTTAACTATAGAATTTTTGGACCCAAAATGATCAGAAATATTGAAATATATAATCTTCAAAAAAAACATTATCAATGTTTTAACGATTTCAATAACATTTCTATCGCACATAAATCTGTTAAATATATCTTTTTTAATCTGATAGGCTCTGGATCTTGATTTACACAATATACGACCGTAATGATGACTCTGATTTTTTTCTAAATACTTTAGTACTACTTATAATTAATATAAAAATAACAAATAAAATTATTTGATATGATGTTATCGAGGCATATTACGCCTAGAAAATTCTATTACAAGAACTCTTTTATGGCTTATGCAAAGCACTTTGAGCATAGGCACAAAACGTTGCTCAAAACAAGCAAAAATTTTCAATTTACAATAATGGAAAATGTGTATTGTAATATTAATTTTAAAGTAGCAATTTACCCTAACAAGTTCGTCATATGTAGTTGAGCCATAAATAGCATTTTTCAACTTGGTTTGTCCATACAATGCACGTATGGAGCAAGGCGCTTGTTCCTTTGCGTCGGCTGGATCTTCAGGTCCAATTAACTCCATAAATGCTTTAATAGCATTTTCCGCAGCCAGTATCATTCCAATAACATATCCGGATGTTATTTCATTTATAAGCATTCTGAAAAAATATATATTTACACATATTTAACAATGTAAGTTATTGATTACGGACGCGGTCAAGATGATAGGAACCAGATACAAGTCCCAATTAGAGGAATGATCTAAATAAATTTCCATTTTAATCAAACTATGTTTACAGGTGCGTAAGGTTCTATTTTAGTGTACCTATCCCATCAACTTTTTAGATTAAATAGTATTTGGAAAGAGGTTAAATTTTAAGAATAAAAAAACGATATTAGGGTTCAGGATATGTTACTTTATCCTGTCGAAACTAAATATGAAACTCATTTTATATGAAATGACGTGAAAATTGATTGATGTGAACTAATGTGACTATATTTTATAAAACGCTTTACGGTATCATATAATTACTTCTAAAAATAATATTATAATTCAAATAAGGAAGGGGCTGATCTGATCCAGCATGCTGCAAGTGTTTTTTTATTTTAAAATTAATTTTATTTGACTGATTACGCAATTAAGTTTTGTATATAGCTTTTAAGGACAGTTTGACGCAATCATTCGGAAGACTTCAAATAACTCCCAATATAAGGAAAAAAGTTATATTTTAATTGACACAGGACGTTTTAGAGATCGAAGAAACTCTTCGGCGGTATATAATATTATTTTTTATTGGAACAAAATTTTGAAATAAAACAACTAGGATCATTATTTATTGGCTATTCTCGTGGCAGAAAACTACTGAAAAAATTTTAATTTAAAATTATTGTTCTGAAAATATTCAGGAAAAAAAAGAACTTATCACTAGAATATAGAGTAGAGCGGAATACAAAGGTCCAATTTGGCTTTGAGCAATTATAAAGTAAAAACCAAATCAATTTCCAAATCAAACTAACAACTATCTGACCATGTTCAGTAAAACTCCCAGATAATTTATAATTGTAGAAATGTGTTTTCTACACTAATCTGAATAATTCGTAACCATGTCCTTTTTACCCTATAGGCGAGAAAAATTGAGACGGCCAGGAGGCAAACAAGTCCAATGTCTTTACAATATTTAGATTATTATAGAGTTTACAAATTAATAGAATATCATTCAACTAATGCAAAATATAACTTTTATGTGTGCATTTTTTACATAGATAGCACTGTAAATGACCTTGATCTGGTATTTCGCGAGAAAAAATCATCAACAGAGTTGGAATAAATATTTAATTAATTTATCTCTCGCAAAATTACTTTTTTTAACTTAATTTATTTTTTTATTTGCTATTTTTGATTTTTGACACCTTTGCCAAGGTGAAGGTCTAGTTCGTCTTTTTTACCGCATCCAGGTGTAAGCTTTGATAGAGGTTATATAAAAAAATGTTGAATCTAACATAAAATTAACAACACATCTCATAAAACAATTAAATAAAGCACACTTCAAAATTAACAGTGCTCACGACCTCCTAATCTAACGACGAAACAAAATACTTTTGTTATGGATTTTCAAACATTATCGTTTTCCTCTCGATAGCAACGTCGCAAAAATTAAGGTAATGACTGTTAATACATTGTTTATCCTCTACTTTAAAATATTGTTTTAAAAAATTCTTAACTTTACTGATTTTTGAGTTATCGGTGTTGGATCTTATAACCTGCGGACCTTCAAGCCCCGCTTTACCTTATTGAAAATTAGTGGAAACTTACGCAAGCATTTGATCCTCAGATGACATGTGTCCATAAACGCTTCTTGCTTGGGGCCTAGTAAGTTTAGACATTTTCAGTCTTACAAATCGAAATCCTTTAGAATTGATTATGTGTAATATAGCTCCCATATCGGGTGCAGCATTAGGTTTTATTAATGCAAACGTTCTGTAAAAACAACAAAAATAAGCACATTAATTGTACATTCAAGTTTTACATAAATGATATATATACTTAATTTATATACGGTAATTTACTAAATTCGACTCTTAATGAATTTATATTCATAATTGTAGTGTATTTGAAATTCATTTAGATATATATTCTCTCACACTTTATAATACTGAATTTAATTATTTATTTTCTATATAAATGCAATTCATATAGAAAACAAATTTAACCTAACAAAAATTTTATTTAATTAATTTTAACTATAAGAAATTTATTTAACCTAATTCATTTTCATAAGGTTATCTGTGCATGTAAAAAGATATATATAAAAAGGATTCGTTGCTCAGGCCTTAATTAAAAAAAACATCCAAGAGATTCTGAACATATATTTGAAAATTTTATATTGTTATTATTTTTTTTAAAAAAACAATTTAATGAAAATATGGAAAGACTAGCATAAATACAATAGATTAGTAAATAGATAGTTGTAATAATTTATTTACACTGTGAGGCGGGAACTAAAATAATTCTTGGTGAATTCGTTGGCATATGAAACAATATACATCGGCCTGAAGTTGAGGGTGATCCTGTTTCCGACAAAAAAATCTTCGGATTTGAGTCCAACATTCATTCGCTGCAAAAACTTCTTTTTGAAGGTTTTATCCCACTAGAAAAAAATGTAAAAGATTAATAATATTTATTGATACAAAATTAATTATGCATTAACAAAAGTAGAATAAAATCTTTCAGTTATTCCTTTAAAAAAATTTAAGAACATAAAAAAAAACTTTCGGCAAAAAAGTTTGGATTAATCCCAAACTGCCGAAAGCTCAAAGAAATTGAGTCAAGAAAAAGCACTAAGTCTCGCAAAATATATATTATATTCAATTATTAGTATAATTAATTACCATTGCCACCGTCTCATCTGCTGGATAGTAAGATACAATGAATTTTCTTCGAAGCCTAGATGTCGGATCATACCATTCTGTGTTAAAAGCAAAATAGAACGCAAAATCTTGCTCCTGCATAGAATTGAGTTTTGAATATCTTACAATAAATTTATTGATACAAATATACATGTGCACAAATATATGTGAATATGTACTAAAAATTCAAATAATATAAATAAATTATTTCTAATCTCTTCCAAAATTATTTGAATATAATACATACATAGCTTAAGGGAACATTTTATTTTGTCCGAAAGTAATGCATTTTTTTAGATAAATCATTTATACTATTAAAATATAAACTCTTAAAACTCCTCAGAACACTATTCTATTCAGTTTCTCCTACATTTCTGCTGATGGTGATGGCTGAAATTCAACGAGAATTCACAGCCAATGCCACCAACTCCTATTCACTCTGATGTGATATTAAGTTTTTTTTTTCAAAAATAAAAACAAATTTTTATCGAACAATGTCAAAAGATGTCGAGCAGGGAAATGTAAGAGGCAGCACTTATTTCATATATGTTTCTATATTTTACAAAAACCTGGAAGAAACGTGGAGCAACTAGTTTTTGGGTTTTCACCTAGTCAAGGGCTTTGCGACTTTTAGTATTTTAGTCTTTTAGTTTTAGTTCCTAAAAAATAGCATCTCGTAGATAACTATTAAGATATTGACCAGGTCTTGGTTCAAGAATTCAGGTATTTGGAGTGAGTGAACTCTATTCGCTTCCAATCAATATGAAAAAAACGCATTATTTTTGAAATTGCATTCTATAGCAAAGCTACTTAAAATATAAATGATATATGACTTTAGATTTTCGCAAATGGTTTGAAAATCCACCACGACTACCGTTCTATTTCATTAAAAGTTCATCAAGTTGAGCTGTAAAATTAATCCAAATTATTTTTAATAGAAATACTCTTAATCGCAATATGACAGAGTGGAAATAGATCAGTCTTAAAGGTAATTGCAGTAAAAATTATCAATTTAAGTGCTCGTACAGCAACTTAAATATGTTCGTACTATACACCCCTAAACAAATTGCACCAGCCTCTTCCTAATATTTTTATAAAAATATTCCAGAATTACATTATTTGCCAAAATAATGCATTTATTTTTTGTGACAACTGAATATGTTTCTCTAAACTAATAATTAATAATTGTATGCTTACCATATCGAAATAGGTGTTTCACTTTAAGATAGTAATTTTTTATAAAAAAAATAATAATGCGATCTCGTTGCATTAACTATCTCAAAATATATTAAATTTCAAATGTTATTACTATATAGATTTATTTAATTCATTTAATTACTGTTATAAATAAAAATAATTTTGTAATGAAAAATATAAATATATTTTTGAAAAGTGTCAAAGTTATTCAAATTTCGAACAAAATCTTATCTGTCAGAGAAAACTCTGTCACAGATTTGAAGGAAATAAAAGTATTGTAATAAATGGTAAAATAGAATTGTAATGAATATATTATTTGGCAAAAATTTCAGAGCGCCTCATTCATTATACATCCAGAAATTATAACAATATTCTAATAATGTTATCAAATTATTTGCTTCAAAATAATATATCGGCTATTATATAAACTTGAAAAAAGTCGTACACACTACACCCAACATATATTACGTATATCAAAAATCCGTTTTTATTTTAATGGGACGGTTCTTCCGTAAAATAGACCAATGTTATGGCAAGGCTATGTTAAGTAGCAGTTTTCATATAAAGTGGTACTAAAAACTGTCAAAATCCGCTGTGCAATCAGGCGTTTTAGATAAAAAACCTAACCTAAAAACATGTTATCCTAACTGCATCTTTAGATATGACTAGATAACATTTGAGTGAAGTTGCATTTTATGTGTAAAACGCCCGATCGCAAAGTAAATTTTAATAGTATTCAGTAGCATTTTGTATGAAAACTGGAACGTAACATAGCCTTGCCATAACATTGGTCTATTTTACGGCAGAATCGGCCCATAAGTGTGTTAAAAAAAGAAAAATATTGAGAAATAAATTATTTTTGACCATTTCAATTGAATATCGTTTACAGATTGCAGAAGTTATAAATATACAATTACATAACATATAGTTTAAATAATTTACGAAACGCTTAGGTTATTTCATTTATTTGAAAACAAATAATTTTATAATCGTTATATAATGGCACAATTAAAAAAATGTATACTTAATACATATAATATTCTTAAGATTACTTTGCTTATAAGTTATATATTTGGATGGAATGCAACTAGAGGCAAAAGGAGCTCTTGAGAACAGTTTATACGTTTAATTTGATTTTTTTAGTAAACACCATTTCGAAAAAAATACATTTTAAAGCGTAAATTTTTGGCTCATTACAATAACTTACTAATTTTTAAACAGTCAAATAGATTTATAGACGATTAAAGTCCTTTACATATAATAGTAAAATTTAAATACGTTCAACATAAGACCGTGGTCTTATCAATACTTACTCATTTAAAAGGAACTAACCATCTTTTATAAAAGCTATATATAGAGTAATATAAAATTATGAATAATAAAACCTAGACAAAAATACATGCCCAAGATAAAGGATGTAAAATATTACATCAATTTTTTGGACAATGAACAATCATCAATATTATAAAATTAATTACCATATAGGTACACTCATATGAGATTTAATACGAATAATAGAATTGATTTCAAATAAATATTTGATATTTAGATTTTTTAGAATATATCTAAAATATACTAAAACTGCTAACAAACAGAAAAACTACAAATACGCTTAATTTTTATATTGTGTCTAGAAATATCGAAGTAAAGCTAGTGCTTTCAAGCATTAAAGCAATATATTGATTTGATTCTATTCATCAGTTTGTATATATATATATATATATATATATATATATATATATATATGTATATAACTTATATAGAACTTTCTTTTACAAACCTTTCTTTAACAGATTTAAACAATAAAAACCTTCATCATCTTCGATTCAAATAAAACCAATTGCAAAAATGATATATATTAGCCGATGGAAATTGGCTAAATCACAACAATTTTTGGTTTTGTTGAAGACATACTATAGGAAAAAAATGTTGGTTAATAAATTACTAAAAGATTGTTAACTGGTAGAACAATTCGCATAAACCACGTTAGTATGAAAATTTGTTTTTTTGGTTTTAATGTGCAAAAATAAATAAGATATCTAACAAGATTGAAACTGGATGTAATCAAACCCCTAATCAATAAGAAAATCAGAAAGACTTATTATTATTATTATTATTATTTAAAAAAAATGGAAAATAAAAACTGATCATACAAAAGCAAGATCATAAAATTTTGACATGTTCGATGGATGCTGTGTCATATAAGCAAATGAAAAACTAGTTTTGATAGAAATTATAAAAAATAATCCAAATTGAAGATATAAAAGGTCAAACAGTTGGTCGGTTTGTAAATGAATGTTCATATATTTAAATTTATTTTTGTATTATAGACAATTTCATATAAATTAAATAAAATCGACTACTGTTATTTAAAATTACTCGAACATGTAAATTAAAAAGTTTAGTAGTATTATTTACAATCGAAATCTATGCCATTAAAATAAAATCTATAAAATTGTCTAGAACATAACTACTTCTAATATTTCGCAAGCTCTTAATTCATATTGAGTGTTTTAATGTTTTAACATTAGTCTATTAATGTATCTGCTTATAAAGAATCGCACGGGTCAAGATATATAAACAGGGTATCCCAGATCTTAACGTCAAGCCGAAACGAAGTGATAGAAAAAAAATTATCTATTTTTTTACTGTTTCGGCTTGACGTCAAGGTCTGAGACAATCTGTATATATCTGCAATAATTGAAATAATTATATAAAAAAAGAATAAATGTACATACCTATATATATATATATATATATATATATATATATATATATATATATCTCAATAAATATACAAAAGCGTAAAACTTGCAAATGCATAATAATAAAAACATAAACAAACTCTTTGTAAAATTTTTAATATCAACGCAAGATTTTCATATAGAATATGAATCTAATTTTTATCAAGCTCTAATATTGTCATATACTGATATAAATTTTCAATTATAGTAACAACATAGTCTTTCATGATAAGTTATTCTATAAACTAATAATAATATAATAATAATTCTATAACGTCAATATAATATTGTTACACAATATGAGGTAATACAAAATTTAACAAACATTGCAATAGAGTTTTTGTCACAATTTTTGGCTATATATAATATACTTGGAAGAAACAGTCAAAATACTAATATTCATAAAAAGGTAACACAAAGAAAACCAAAACACGAAACAAATTACTTTTTTTTACTGTTTGAATACATCAACATTCGCTGCTCTCAAAATATTTACAAAAGATCTTGTTAATTATAAAACTCAATCGTTTTTAAAAGCATTTTGGCACACAACTAAAACCCTTTTTTCGGAGGGTTAAGCGTATATCTTACCATGTATTAAATTCAACTCACACACTAGTGCCATACACCACCAAGGGCCTTTGTAAACTCTCTCAATGAAGATCCTATTCCTGATTGTATAATTTGAGACCCTAGAATTAGCAAGTAAAAATAAACACATTAGTAGCATTGCTCCAAATTCAAATTTAGGTTCAGTTTCTTGAGCGATATATTTCTCTGAGATTTTAAAGTCCTTCGATTCCTCAAATACTATATGCACTTAAGACAATCGATTTGCTGCGATCTGAATTGGCAAATTTAATTTTTTTAATATGAAACATATTTTTAAAAACAAATATGAAATTACAATAACAATCATAAAATGTCATGTCATTAGCTTATTAAATATTTAAACTATAAACTACTGAATATTTTAGATAAAACGTAATTTATTTGATTGCCTATCAGTATATTTTGAACTATATTAAAGGTCAGAAACTTAGTTCAACTTTGATAAGGTCAATCAATTTTTTTTTTTGAAATAGTTTGGTCGACTATCACACAAATTAATCAACAAAGATTATCATTAAATTCTATTAAATGACTTTTAAATTTGAAAAATGACCTCAGGCGTTTTCCAGAAGACGTGAAAAAATGCGTTAGCTTATCCAGTCTAACAAGAAGCAAATCTTAAGTTAGCAATTGTGTGCGTAGGTACAAAACATTGTGGATGAATGATTCTTTTAAAAGAAACATAAATAATGTTTTAATTCTGGAATTTCGTAATAATTTTAATTTTACATTAGAGTCATATAAATAGCTAATTTTTAAAAATTATAATAATTAAAACGATTATTCATATAGACCTATGGTCTACAGTCTAAGAAAAATCAGATAAATCATATACATTGTTAAAGGTATCCACTCATTTGTAATAATTATAAATAATATTATAAACTACTATATAATGGTCAAAATACAAACTACGCAGTAGTAAGGAATTGCTCATGCTATTACATTGTATGCTCGAGATAAGCACAACACGCGCTCAGAAATAACGGACTTTTCCAAGGCTTTCTAACCGGAAAACCGTTGTCGGTGTTGACCGTTATGACTTTTTCTAAAACAAGATGCAAATACTGCATTAGTCATCCATTGGAAAGCGTAGTTTGTGACTCACATATAACAAATTTGAACAAGTTGGACAAGCATTCTGGAAAGGATTACGTCATTCCGGTGAGGAGTATCAAAGCTACAAAATGATGAAATCGTTGTTCATTTTCAGTTCATTCTTAGGCTCATTCTCACTCATTCCGTATCAGTCTTTACATCAATATGTTAATTTAATATTAAAGTTGTATTTAGTTGTATACAAGTGTAGCAGAATAACGAAATAAATAAAAATAATAAACATCTTCGAATGTTTATTTAAATATTTTCCACATTGGTACAAGCTTTATTATTAGTAGCAGAAGAACCTAAATTTAAATGACAGCGTTGGTGTGACACAACATAATTGTTGGCAGCGGTGCACAACATATTTTGGTGTCAGCGCTGGGATCACAACAACGTATACAGCAAAATTCCAGATATACAACCAAATTTTTAAAACATCAGTATTGAAGAATTCAAAATAAATTCTAATTATTGTTACTGTTACAAGAAAAAAATAATAAAACCCCAAAAATGTTAGCTGGAAGACTGCCCAACCCACTCTATATTATTAAAATTAACCAACTAACAAATTATGATTTTAACTAAATTGGAAGAGGCCTCTCAACGGACTAGCTTCGTCCTCAACATTAGAAAATTATCAGTCTATTACATATATTACATATTGATAAATAAAATACTAATTGAAAAAAATATTTAGGAAAAACTGACATGGCAATTCGAGAAGGATTGAATATAACCGCAGAGAACACACCTTTCTGAAGTAATCATACTGACCTTTAATACGGCACCACTCTGCTAATCAAAATAATAGTAAATCTCAGCAACTAATAACAAATTATAAATTTACTGGATCAGAGGGGAACTTTGGCTTTCGCCGAAGTCCAGAGCATAAAACATGTCGTAATCCAAAGGACGAGATGTACTCATGGGCTTCTCAGTCAACCAGTGTTGATGACTATGACTTTCACTATCGTTTTGCATTTCTGAATCACTACTACGTTGTCGAAGTAACGGATGAGCTTTTTGTAAAAGCTTCCTGTAAGTCTTATTGACTCGACAATGACAAGCTGCGACCTGAAAGGAAATAATTTATATACTATATATATATATATATATATATATATATATATATATATTAACAAAGTCTAATAATCGGGCAATAAATCGTTGTGTACTGTGAATAAAATGGACAATTGCACAGTACACAACGATTTACCTGACTCAGAAACTCATTCTGGTGTAATATGTTTGCCATACATTAAAGAATTGTATGTTCCTTGGAAAAAACTTTTTTGCAAATCTTGACTTCGACTTGTAACCAATTTTAGTACAACTACTAGCACTATTTTTACCAAGACAAAAACCCCATTTAATATTGAACGACTCAGAAATCTCGTCTATCAAATAAATTGTTTAGACTGTAATTTAATTTACATAGGAGAAACTAGCCAGAACCTCAATAAACGGTTACAACAACATAAAAACAATTCAAAAAACCCCAAACAATTCAAAACTGTACTTGCAGACCATATATACACTTTAAAACACAATATGGACTTTTCTAATCCGACTATACTACAATTCGAACAAAATTTATTTAAACGAAGAATTATATAGGGATCTTTTTTAACTATTTATAACAATAAGACAATAAATAAACGGAATGAACTCAACACGCTGTGCGACACAAATCTCTTCTATTTAGATAACATTTCCAAATTTCTTACAAAACAATAAAAGCATTCGTGCAAAGGATTCGCAATTCGTTCCACACATGTTAGAATCTTGGTAAAAATATTTTTTTAAAAAATGTCTTTCTCCATTACATCTTCAACCAGTCTACAAATAACACACTATCCATTTGTGATTTTTTCAAATCAGTATTTTGTGAAAATATTGTGTAATTTCAAGTTAATGTTTATAATACATAGTGTAGTGCATTACCATATCCTAATACCATGGATTATTAAAATTTTCCAATTTAACACTAAGATCTACTAATTGTAAGTACTAATTACTATTTTATTTTTTCTTTTCACTCCAATTCAATTGTTTTAGTTTTTAATTTTATTTTTAGTTTCCACTGAATGAAGGCTAGGATTATAGCCGAAACGTATGGATTTAAAATAAATTTTTGAAAGAAATTCATGTTTTTTATTGATGTTATGCCCGATTATTAGACTTTGTTAATACATATGTCAACATCAAATTCAGAATCATACAATATATATATATATATATATATATATATATATATATATCTACAATCTTACTCATACCACTAGATTGCACTAGCTTGCACTAGATTATTATTAGTAGTTTAGTTTTCATCTATACATATGACAATGTCTATATAAAATGTGTGTATATGTCCTATGTATTCATGAACCATGCATATGATCACCGTGAAAATTTGAGAAACTCAACTGAAATCCTCGGAGAGCTTTTCGCATATTTTGATTGAAACCAAGTGGAAGGGGTTGATCACCCACAATAAATTCAATTTTTATTTTTTTAAAATACGTATATAAAGAACACATATGACCCTAAATTTTCACATTCTTACCACAAACGCTTATTTCGTAAAAATTATTATAGCAGTTACATCATTTTTCATCTCGCTTTCCGTCAGTGACTAAAATTCGATTAAGCCCTATTTTACATAAAAAGCAAAGCCCTATTTTACATAATTTCATCAAGAAGTGTCCAACTCAAACACTTATTTTTTAATGTATTGGATCAATTTTCTTATTTCTTTTTAAATTGTGAATTTGAAAGATACATGAATGCAACCATAAATTTTTACCTTCCTACCACATTTCCAAATATCATTAATCATTTTTAACTTTTTTAACTGGTCAAGTATCGTCTTTTTATTCTCGTTTTTCAAAATTAATGAAAAAACTCATTTTTTTTTACAAGTTTTCTTTTTCATTTATATTACTGGTTGATCACCTCGATCACTTTTTTGAATTTTTTTAAGACATTTTCTTTAATTTTCACTAAACACACATTTAATTATATGATATATATAGATACTGCGGAATAAAAAATTACATATAAATATGAAAGTTAAAATATAGGGTAGAGCAGGGTGGTGAATTAGATGTATGTACTAATTACGCCTCCTATGGCGTAAAAGGGATAGATGAAAAATTTTATAAAAAATATTATATGAACAAAACACTTAGGCAATAACTGGAAAAAAATTCTGCGCACATTTCAATAGTTGGCTGTTTAATATGTTGTATGTGCTGTGATATATGTTCCTTGATTTTCACTGTATATTTACTGGATGTAAAAAAACACTGATATGCTTATAAGCTCAAAGCTAATATAGCTCAACCCCAAAAGATAAGTGCGCAATTTTCCATCTTAAGATTATCTTAAGTTTGGATTTTTATTTAGAAATGGATATAGCTAGTATTTAATAAAACAATCCGAAAGGGGAAAAAATGCCGAAAAAACGGGAAGCATTGCATTTATCATAGAAAGCAAATTTTGTTTAAAAGAGTTAGAACTAAAAATCTTTCTGATTATCGAAACGATAAATACATGATAAGAATGCACTAAAAATACTAGTCTGTATAATTTTTCACGCACTGTAATAAATTAGTTTAATATAAGTGTTTATGACTAATTTTACGCAAAATATAATTCAATTCATCAATTAATTAAAAATTAGTAATAGAGCATACCACCAATGCAACAATCGTGATGGCTAAACAAAGCGTTCCTGCAGCCACATATATATTATTGTGGAAATGATTCTGATGTGGTCCTAGTACAACATCCTGACCAGCAACTGCCTCGACTATGAACTCATCTGCAAATATATGATACATACATGTATAGAAAGTAATGTTATACATAATTAGAACAAGTCAAACAAAAATATTGCTTATATTCTCAAGAAACATATGTAAAAAAATTAAGATCATTTAAAAGGACCCTTCAAAGATCTTTGAGAATTAATTTTGATCGCTTAGCTGATATAATAAAAGAATATGATTAAAGAATTTTACAAGTAGACTCATAGTTCCTCTTGAAATATCTTGTAAATGTACTAATAACAACTAAAAAAAATAATTATGTTTTAAAGTGACCTAAAATGCAAGGATGACTTTTCCTTAAATCATTCACCAAAGTGTTTTTAGATCTAATTAGGCTTTTCAATTAATATCTACTATCATATATTACGTTCTGCTGATAGAAGTTGATTGTATGATAATGGTCAATTTCTGTAAAAATTTGGTTGATTCTGTAATAATTTTAAAAGAAATTGTATAAATGGATATATTACCTTCACAAACTTTGCCCGTATATCCTGGTCTGCAGGCGCAGTAAAATGAGTCAATACTGCTCCAGCAAGTTCCTCCATTTGCGCATATATTGTCATTGCACGCCTAAAATAATAACCATTAATTTAAATTCATTGTATTAGCAATAATTGAAAAAAATATATAGGATATCAAGTTGATATTGACAATTAATTGTATTGTATTTGGTATTGATGTTTCAGAATAAATTATTAAAAACATATTGCAAACACCAGACTGGCCAATACGGAGAAGGTTTTAACCCAATTGTGCTGATGGTGTAAAATCAAAATCACCAACCCAAGGAAAAGTCTATTGGAAATATATTATTGGAATATTTGAATTATATTATATTAAATTATATTTGCATTATTTACATTTACATAATTGCACTTCATATTATTAATAACAAATTTCTTCAGTTCCAATTGGGTATAAATATCTATTAAATAAATATTAGATCCTCATTTGCATAATATATTTGATTCTTATATATTTTCTCAAGAACTTAATGGATTTTTTTATTGTTACAATAAATTATGATTTATAAGTTATATATTCAACTATAATTAAAAAAATAATATTAGCTGACTATGATATGATTTTTTAGAATGTTTTAGAACCGAAAATAACCAAGCAATCAAGTAAGTCAAACAAAACAATAACCTATCAAGTTTAAAAATCTACACATGTCCTTTTCCAAAAATATTTAATAAGTTTTCTCATTTTTATCTTTTATAATGTTATTTTAATATTTTAATATTTTTAATAGTAAAAACCTTTTTCTACTGTGAGTGATGTGTTAACCAAGTGTTACCAAGAATGTTTTCGAAAATTTTAATCCAAGAGGAATATCCTGGGTGAGTTTCTAAATATATTTATTTTAGTGATTGCAAATTACTTTTCATAGTTTTTTTATTTTATAAAAAATAAAATAAAAATGATTTTAAACTGTAATTATTAAAATATTTGTAAAATACTTTCACAACTCTAAATATTAAAATTATCTAATGTCATTAAGCAATATATTTTTTGTTTGAATATGGGTATCAAATAATATAATTTTTTATTAAATTAAACTGTGATTCCAATATACCTATATTATTTATAAGAGTTAATTGTACCAAATATTTGTGATTAATTTAGCAGAAAAATCAAAATGATTCTAATTTTATTCAAATTATCGCACTACTCATAGTAAACGTAATACAAAAATCATGTTATTAATTCACTTCTGACAGAATATTTTCGGGAAAACGCAAAATCAATTTGTAGAATAAGATTATGAATTGCTAAAAGTATTGTCACGACTAGGTAAAAACATAATAATGTTTTATAATTCCTAATTAGCAAATAATAATATTTGTACGTTTCGACTTTTTGTGCACAGTTGTCGGTTGTCAAAATTTTTCACTTGTTTCTTAATATTTTTTGTTTCTAATCTGACAATGAGACGTATAGAAAACAATCGCACACCGATTTTAATTAAAATTGAAAAAATAATATTGGTTAACTGAGATATGGTTTTTTAGATTGTTTTATATTGTATGACAAGTCAAACCAAAACAATAACCGATCAAGTTTAAAAATCTACACATGTCCTATTCCAAAAATTTTTAATAAGTTTTCTTATTTTTATCTTTTATAATGTTATTTTAATATTTTAATATTTTTATTAGTAAAAATCTTTTCCTACTGTAAGTGATGCAAGTTTTGCAGAGAATAATTTTGAAAATTTGAATCGAAGATGAATATTCTGGGTGAGTTTCTAAATATATTTATTTCAGTGATTGGAAATGATTTCTTAAAGTTTTTATATTTTATAAATAATAAAATAAAATAAAAATTACTTATGATTTTAATTATTAAATTATTTGTAAAATATTTTCACAATTCTAAATATTATAATTTTTTCTAAAATGTCATTTTCCAAAAAAATTTAATAAGCTTCCTCATTTTTATCTTTTTTAATATTTTAATATTTTTATTAGTAACAACCTGTTCTACTGAAAGTAATGCAAGTTTTATAAAGAATATATTTGAAAATTTAAATCGAAGAGAAATATTCTGGGTGAGTTTCTAAATATTCTAAATAAATTTATTTCAGTGTTTGCAAATTATTTCTTATAGTTTTTTTTATTTTATAAATAATTAAATAAAAATTACTTATGATTTTAATTATTAAATTATTTGTAAAATATTTTCACAATTCTAAATATTATAATTTTTTCTAAAATGTCATTTTCCAAAAATTTTTAATAAGCTTCCTCATTTTTATCTTTTTTAATATTTTAATATTTTTATTAGTAACAACCTGTTCTACTGAAAGTAATGCAAGTTTTATAAAGAATATATTTGAAAATTTAAATCGAAGAGAAATATTCTGGGTGAGTTTCTAAATATTCTAAATAAATTTATTTCAGTGTGTGCAAATTATTTCTTATAGTTTTTTTATTTCATAAATAATTAAATAAAAATTACTTATGATTTTAATTATTAAATTATTTGTAAAATATTTTCACAATTCTAAATATTATAATTTTTTCTAAAATGTCATTTTCCAAAAATTTTTAATAAGCTTCCTCATTTTTATCTTTTTTAATATTTTAATATTTTTATTAGTAAAAACCTGTTCTACTGAAAGTAATGCAAGTTTTATAAAGAATATATTTGAAAATTTAAATCGAAGAGAAATATTCTGGGTGAGTTTCTAAATATTCTAAATAAATTTATTTCAGTGTGTGCAAATTATTTCTTATAGTTTTTTTTTTATTTTATAAATAATTAAATAAAAATTACTTATGATTTTAATTATTAAATTATTTGTAAAATATTTTCACAATTCTAAATGTTATATTTTTTTCTAAAATGTCATTTCCAAAAAATTTTAATAAGTTTTCTCATTCTTATCTTTTTTAATATTTTAATATTTTTATTAGTAACAACCTGTTCTACTGAAAGTAATGCAAGTTTTATAAAGAATATATTTGAAAATTTAAATCGAAGAGAAATATTCTGGGTGAGTTTCTAAATATTCTAAATAAATTTATTTCAGTGATTGCAAATTAATTCTTATAGTTTTTTGATTTTATAAATAGTAAAATAAAAATTAATTATGATTTTAATTATTAAATTATTTTTAAAATATTTTCACAATCCTAAATATTATAATTATTTCTAAAATGTCCTTTTCTAAAAATATTTAATAAGCATTTTACATTATTCAATGTTATTTTAATATTTTAATTTTTTTATTAGTAAAAACCTGTTCTACTGTAAGTGATGCAAGTTTGACAAAAATATTTTTGAAAATTATAATCGAAGAGGAATATCTTGGGTGAGTTTCTAAATATATTTATTTGAGTGATTGCAAATGATTTATTATAGTTTTTTTTTTCATTTTATAAATAATAAAATAAAATAAAAATAACTTATGATTTTAATTATTAAATTATTTGTAAAATATTTTCACAATTCTAAACATTATATTTTTTTCTAATGTCATTATGCAATATTATTTTTGTTGTGAGTTTTGTAAGGATCAAATATTATAATGTGATTATACATGCAATATTACAATGTTTTACACGAAACAATTAATTAATCAAAAATGATTAATCTATCAAAATTTTTCGTACTACTTATACTAAACATAATACAACAATTATGTTATTATTTACTTCTGAAAGAACTTTCAGGCAAAAGCAAAATAAATTTGTAGATTAAGATTATGAATTGCATAAAGTATTGTTTTATGTCTAGGTAGAAACATAATAACGTTTCACAATTCTTAATTAGAAAATATTAATTTTTAACCGATTTTTACGTGCACCATTTTTCAAAAATGAAATAGCAAAAATATTTATAAAACTAATACATTTTTTTAAAATAGATTAATTTTTAATTAAAATTTACAATTGGATGCTTGGGTAATAAGCTCTGCGTGTTGGTGCCTTTTGGCGTGGATTGGGCCTTTTGGCGCTGATTGCGCCTTTTGAAGTAATTTGTGCTGTTACTTATGCTGTTTTGAATCCTAAAGTTTGGAATACACTTTGCTCTGCTGAATTAATGTAAGTTAATTTTGTCTTTTTTATCTAATTATATGAAATTTATAGCTTACCTTTTATAGATGCAATAGCGCCTTTATGTATACAGACATAAATATTAAAATAAATTTCAACTTGTAACTTCATTAATGCCTTCATTAGTAGATTATTTATTGATTATTTATATATTACCAAAATATCGATAATTGTTCATTGGTTAATAATGTGCGAAATAAATTTTCGTAGTTTTCATAGTTATAAATTTATTCTTATTTATTATATTAGTAACGTTTGTAGTTTTGCGTAAAAATCATAGCAATAATATGCATAATTAATCATGTATTGTACCATATGTTATATAGTGTAATTTTAAACATTTTCTTAATTATGAAATAAGAAATGAATTCATTTTGCATAGGAAAGTATTACGTTTCGCATAAAGTTGATTCAACCAAACATACGGAACGAAAAAGTCATAACATATTTTCTAATTATTGAAATAATGACTATTTTTTGCTGAATTTCCATCACCTAACACACGCATATATATATATATATATATATATATATATATATATATAAAATTAGGCGGGCCACAAAAGTCCATTCTGACTTTGAGCAATTATATTTTGAAAGCAAAACCAATTATTTCTCAATAAAATAACGCACATCAAAATCGACTATGATCAGAAATGTGTTTTTTGCCGTTTTTCAAATATTTGTAACCTGGTCCTTCATGTTATACGTTTACCCAGAGGGCAAATAGATCAAATGTGTTATTTTAATTTTAAAAGGATTTTACAAAATAATAGCTACATTATTTAACCAATGCAAAATAGAAATTTCATGGGTGCAATTTTTACAGAGATAACACTGTAAATAACATTGAACTAGTATTTCGTCAGAGATTTTCATCCGTAGCGTTGAAATAAATATTTATTTAATTTTTCTTGTAAAATTGCTTTATATAACTTAGTTTACTTTTTAATTTAGTATTTTTTATTTTTTACACTTTTGCCAGGGTGAAGGTTCAGTTTGCCC